CTGTGGGCCTCCCCTCAGGGAAATTCCTGTATGTCTATCAGATCATTAATATGTTAGCCTATTTGATCCATCCAATGTTTGTTGTATTTAAAGTACGGCAATATCTAATTCTAATATTTCACAAACATGATTTTCATTTGTTTAATTTTGGCAGCAGAATCTAAATGTAAAGTAGAGCCTACCCTGCATTTAATATATATTTTTTTTCCCTACCATACCATATGTTACATGGTTTATGGTATATGATGAAAATTAATGAAAACAGTGCACCAATATTGTGTTCATCATAACACACTGACTTTCTGTCAGGCATTAGTGAAGTTTTGGATCCCGATTTAGTTTGAAAGTTAGATAAAAACAAGGCTTTATTTTTTTCTTGCCATGATACAATTGTTATGGAAAAGTTAATGGTGTGCAACTTTTTTTTTGTCCTCCACTGGGTCATTTCCTGCCTGTTACAAAATCTTTATAAAACTGACAGGCTGCTGCTTGTGTTTGTCACACCATCAAGGCCGTCCGGTGAGGTAAGCACTGAAGTGCATCTCAAACTCATTGCAGACACAATCCCTCTCAATCATGTGCTGTGCTGTAATGGTTGTATTGTTTCTTCAGTATGGTTCAGGTGGATGAGAACTACACACAAGTTTCAGAGTTTGTTATTGTGGGCTTCCCAAGTCTCCAGCCGGGGGATTTTAACCTGGTAGCATGGTTCTTCTTTTTCCTCTATGTGGCTACGGTGGGGGGCAACCTTTTGCTGGTGGTGCTGTTTGCTTTGGAGCGCAGCCTCCAGAAGCCCATGTACATCGTCATGGTCAGCCTGGCCCTCTCAGACATTGGTAAATATGGTATTGTTTGTATTGTACTGCCTACTACTACTGTGTATTAGGTGTTACACATAAAAATATTACTGCCAACGGTCAGCACATTGCTATTTAAGAAACACTGATGGTCTCAGTGGTTGTACAAATTACTGTTGTTGACTTTGAGCATAACCCGGATTCACTATCTCAGCGCCCTCTCTTAATCTTTTGATGTACAGCAACGTTGAGACTTGACCAGGAAATGTGAGAGAAACAGTCAATACTTGAACTATAGTCCAAGTTTTTGCTGAAAGAGGTTAAAAAAAAAGAAAAAAAAAAAAAAAAAAATTTTTTAATTTTATTTAAAATTTTTGGGGGGGGGGGTTTTTTTGAAAAGGATTAATTTTTTTTTTTTTTAGTTTAAGTGAATGCATTTAAGTGTGACATTACTTCATAGGTTTAAAAATTAAAGTGATACTAAAATGGAAGTGAAATAGCTGAATAGTAAAAAGTCAAATCTGCTTTGCCCTGTCTTTTCTCATTTTTCTTCTCACCTCTCATTCTCCTGTAGGGTTTGCCACAGTTGTTTTACCCAAACTGACTGCTCGCTACTGGTGGAATGATGGGAGTCTTGGCTTTCACACTTGTCACTTCCAACGGCACATGATCCACTATTTTGGCTCCCTGAACTCCCTGATTTTACTGACAATGGCCCTGGACCGATACGTGGCTATCTGTTTTCCTCTCAGGTGAAGGGAAGCAATCTAAGCCCTGAAATAAGACTATATGAAATGAAATATGACTTAATTTTCTTTCTCTCTCTACCTCCCTTTCTCTCCTCAGATACCCAATGGTGATGACAAACCAAACCATGACGGGCCTCACGGTCTTCTGCTGGGTGGTTGCGCACATCTTCCCTGGCATTAGCACCATCAACTTCACCATGATGCCGTTTTGTGGGCCTAACCAAATCCTACAAGCCTTCTGTGACACTCTGTCTCTTAAAGCTCTTGTGTGCAGAGACACTGGCGAACTATACAGCAAAGCCTTCACTGTAGCGATGTTTATTCTTTATGTTCCTTTATCCTTCATCATATTATCTTACATTTTCATCATCATCTCAGTATTGCGCATGGCCAGTGGACAGGTGAGGTTATACTGTCCTACCCTTTAATATACTTTACTTTGATAATTAGTGCCCACCCTTAAATCTAAGGTCACACACTATTTATTTTCTAAATTTTACACACATTTTATTTCATTTTATTATTCATACCTCATTTTAACCCTAAGACACTGTTCTCCTCAGGGCAGAAGGAAAACCTTCTCTACCTGTGCCACCCAGGGCTGCATCATTTCCATCTACTACATACCACGTTTCTTTGTCTACTCCACACCTTTCTTCCCTAACCTGACGATGACCGCTGACAAGCGTATAGCCACCATCCTCTTCTACAGCCTTTTCCCTCCACTGATCAACCCGTTCATCTACTGTCTGAGAACCAAGGAGATCAAGCAAATATTTGCACGCTGGATCTGGAGACAAAAGGGCATTGCGCCTAAGAAGCAAGGCCAAATTGAAGCTATCACCAAATCACAATGAGAAGTAATGCAAGACCTTTATTGTTGTAATAAATGCATGCATGATCATTTAGTCTATATGGTTATGCACAGAAAAGTGTTTGATTATAGAAAATAATAATAACTAAAATGCTGTTTTAGTGTGGAAACCAGGGCACAAGTTTATATCCCTCTTTCTGTCCTGCTTTCACTCTGTCTGTATGTGTATAAATAGTGCTTTAATTCAAAAGAAACTTATCCTGCATTTCTATCTGTGTCAATATCTTAAGTCTTAAATGTAAACAAATGCCATATCAAAAACAATATGAGTCTCTCTAAGTCGTATAGATGCAAACTGAACCTTTGAGATGTGCGACACGTTTGTAAGAATGTGTTTTGGCAGTTTTTGGACTCATCGTCACAGATAACATTGATATAGTTCATAGCAGCAATTCTCCATTCTCTTGTAAAACAAAACACACTGGAGGGAGATGCTGCAGACATATCAGCATGTCAAAACCATCACCAACAGAAGGAACAATTATAAGTATTGCATTAAAGACAAACTAAAGCAAAGGGTAAAGATTGCTAGTTATTTAGGGAGAAAAGACAGTAAAACTAATCCATATTCATGACCTATGGGTATTAAAACACAAAAATATTTTTGAACCACCGAATGGTGACTGAATCTGATTTAAGAAATATTTATAATTAATATTATGGTGACAGAACTTTTAGGTTTTATTGAATGACTTTAAGTCCCCAAATCATCATTATTATTACAGGAGGTCTGTGTTAATGAGTCTATAAACTTTTACCAGACTACATTCCCATTATTCTTATTCAATTCATTCAAGCAATATTCCATATTTTCCAACAGGAATATGTGGAATTTGAGATGAAGAAACCTTTAAATATAGCTAATATATGTTATTCTCTATCTCTTATCTGTTGACTGTTAACTCACAACAAAACACATTCCTACAAACATTGCTGGAATATAAAGTACATTTGCTCAAGTGCTACTTAGGTACAGTTTTAAGTTGCTGTTGCTTTAATTGAATGTTTTTCCTTTTGCTCTTTTACTTGGCTGCTAAAGTTACTTTGCAGATTAATCATTTACACACAACACATGTAATAATCATATACAGAGGTGGACAAAGAATCAGATCCTTTACTCAAGTAAAAGCAGTAATACAACATTATTAAAATACTGTTTCAAGTAGGAGTATAGAAGTATAAATGGATTTAAAGCATCTAAAGTAAAAGTACTCGTTCTGCAGAAAAATTAGCCCTGTCAGTGTTATATTATTATTAAATTATAAGAAACATTTTACTGAGCTAGTTTTAACTACTTGTAACCCAACCTAGGAGTCGGGCCCCTCAGCCATTTCAGTGGAGCAAAAGTAGCGTGGAATGGAAATAATCAAGTACAAGTGGCTCTTAAAATGTGCAGAAGTACAGCACTTCAGTAAGGACTTTTTTTGTACATTTTGCCACTAATCGTATGTGGTGCATTGTCATAGCTTGACACAGAAAAATCTGCATAGCAAATAGCTCCTGTAGAAAAAAACATTTATATGTTTATCAGACAGTGTGAGGAAGAGCCTTGTGCTCGAAATGTAATGAAAACTCTTTCATGATGTGTATTTGTGTAGCTTCCCAGCAGCTACTACATCCCTAGTTCCTATAAAAGGTGAACCAAAGTAATTGAGTAATCTCAGTGAACACATATTCTGTGGTAAAGTTATCCAAAAAATCCATGAAGGAGTCAAAATTCCCATGGTACAAGTAATTTAAACTGCTGCCTTCATATGAAAGCATTGATGATAATAATAATAATAATAATAATAATAATTATAACAATAATAAGTCATAAAAATACATAAAATGAATGAATTAACTTAGTTGACTGTTTACTTGTGATGGGAGTGTTTTTACATTGTGGTATTATAATATTCAAGTTCAGAAAAGAATCACAGTACTTCATTTATAACTTTAAATGAAATGCATTGCCTGCATTACTGTTCAATAACTAACTGTAGCTAAGTGTTTTACATGTGTGTAAAGTTAAGCCTTAGTCTTAACCAGTTTCCCAACAGACTCATTTCAGCAGAAATGCAGCACAATCCACTGCCATGTAGTTGTCAGATAGTTCAAGATTTATTGAGTCACAGTTTATGTGCAGTAAGACATGACAAAAGGCAGTGCACTTCAATAACCTTTATTTAGATTACAGATATATTCCATTTTGAAGTTTGAAGTCTAATATTTCACCAAACCAAAAGATGATGTTAATTTGTTTAATTTTGGCAGCAGAATTTAAATGTAAAGTAGAGCCTACCCTGCATTTAATATATATTATTTCTTTCCTACCATACCATAATGTGACATGGTTTATGGTATATGATGAGAATTAAGGAAAACAGTGCACCAATATTGTGTCCATCATAACACACTGACCTTCTGTCAGGCATTAGTGAAGTTTTGCATCCCGAGTGAGAAAATCATTAGGATTCAGTTTAAAAGTTAGATAAAAACAAGGTTTTATTATATCTTGCCATGATACAATTGTTATGGAAAAGTTAATGGTGTGCAACTTTTTTTTTGTCCTCCACTGGGTCATTTCCTGCCTGTTACAAAATCTTTATAAAACTGACAGGCTGCTGCTTGTGTTTGTCACACCATCAAGGCCGTCCGGTGAGGTAAGCACTGAAGTGCATCTCAAACTCATTGCAGACACAATCCCTCTCAGTCATGTGCTGTGCTGTAATGGTTGTATTGTTTCTTCAGTATGGTTCAGGTGGATGAGAACTACACACAAGTTTCAGAGTTTGTTATTATGGGCTTCCCAAGTCTCCAGCCGGGGAATTTTAACCTGGTAGCATGGTTCTTCTTTTTCCTCTATGTGGCTACGGTGGGGGGCAACCTTTTGCTGGTGGTGCTGTTTGCTTTGGAGCGCAGCCTCCAAAAGCCCATGTACATCGTCATGGTCAGCCTGGCCCTCTCAGACATTGGTAAATATGGTATTGTTTGTATTGTACTGCCTACTACTACTGTGTATTAGGTGTTACACATAAAAATATTACTGCCAACGGTCAGCACATTGCTATTTAAGAAACACTGATGGTCTCAGTGGTTGTACAAATTACTGTTGTTGACTTTGAGCATAACCCGGATTCACTATCTCAGCGCCCTCTCTTAATCTTTTGATGTACAGCAACGTTGAGACTTGACCAGGAAATGTGAGAGAAACAGTCAATACTTGAACTATAGTCCAAGTTTTTGCTGAAAGAGGTTGAATGAAGTTGGCCAGAGAGAACCAAACACTGCTGTAACTGATATTAAAGATTTAAGGCTGTGGAGCTTTTACTGAACAACATGAATCCGTCTGTCTTTTAGTTTAAAAGTTAATGCATTTAAGTGTGACATTACTTCATAGGTTTGAAAATGAAAGGGATCCTAAAACTGAATATATGTGTCTTCTTCTACCATGAAATAGTAAAAAGTCAAATCTGCTTTGCCCTTTCTTTTCTAATTTTTCTTCTCACCTCTCATTCTCCTGTAGGGTTTGCCACAGTTGTTTTACCCAAACTGACTGCTCGCTACTGGTGGAATGATAGGAGTCTTGGCTTTCACACTTGCCTCTTCCAACAGCACATGATCCACTATTTTGGCTCCCTGAACTCCCTGATTTTACTGACAATGGCCCTGGACCGATACGTAGCTATCTGTTTTCCTCTCAGGTGAAGGGAAGCAATCTAAGCCCTGAAATAAGACTATATGAAATGAAATATGACTTAATTTTCTTTCTCTCTCTACCTCCCTTTCTCTCCTCAGATACCCAATGGTGATGACAAACCAAACCATGACGGGCCTCACGGTCTTCTGCTGGGTGGTTGCGCACATCTTCCCTGGCATTACCACCATCAACTTCACCATGATGCCGTTTTGTGGGCCTAACCAAATCATACAAGCCTTCTGTGACACTCTGTCTCTTAAAGCTCTTGTGTGCAGAGACACCAGCGAACTATACAGCAAAGCCTTCACTGTAGCGATGTTTATTCTTTATGTTCCTTTATCCTTCATCATATTATCTTACATTTTCATCATCATCTCAGTATTGCGCATGGCCAGTGGACAGGTGAGGTTATACTGTCCTACCCTTTAATATACTTTAATAATTAGTGCCCACCCTTAAATCTAAGGTCACACACTATTTATTTTCTAAATTTTACACACATTTTATTTCATTTTATTATTCATACCTCATTTTAACCCTAAGACACTGTTCTCCTCAGGGCAGAAGGAAAACCTTCTCTACCTGTGCCACCCAGGGCTGCATCATTTCCATCTACTACATACCACGTTTCTTTGTCTACTCCACACCTTTCTTCCCTAACCTGACGATGACCACTGACAAGCGTATAGCCACCATCCTCTTCTACAGCCTTTTCCCTCCACTGATCAACCCGTTCATCTACTGTCTGAGAACCAAGGAGATCAAGCAAATATTTGCACGCTGGATCTGGAGACAAAAGGGCATTGCGCCTAAGAAGCAAGGCCAAATTGAGGCTATCACCAAATCACAATGAGAAGTAATGCAAGACCTTTATTGTTGTAATAAATGCATGCATGATCATTCAGTCTATATGGTTATGTACGGAAAAGTGTTTGATTATAGAAAATAATAATAACTAAAATGCTGTTTTAGTGTGGAAACCAGGGCACAAGTTTATATCCCTCTTTTTGTCCTGCTTTCCCTCTGTCTGTATGTGTATAAATAGTGCTTTAATTCAAAATAAACTTATCCTGCATTTCTGTCTGTGTCAATATCTTAAGTCTTAAATGTAAACAAATGCCATATCAAAAACAATATGAGTCTCTGTAAGCCGTATAGATGCAAACTGAACCTTTGAGATGTGCGACACGTTTGTAAGAATGTGTTTTGGCAGTTTTTGGACTCATCGTCACAGATAACATTGATATAGTTCATAGCAGCAATTCTCCATTCTCTTGTAAAATAAAACACACAGGAGGGAGATGCTGCAGACATATCAGCATGTCAAAACCATCACCAACAGAAGGAACAATTATAAGTATTGCATTAAAGACAAACTAAAGCAAAGGGTAAAGATTGCTAGTTATTTAGGGAGAAAAGACAGTAAAACTAATCCATATTCATGACCTACGGGTATTAAAACACAAAAATATTTTTGAACCACCGAATGGTGACTGAATCTGATTTAAGAAATAATTATAATTAATATTATGGTGACAGAACTTTTAGGCTTTATTGAATGACTTTTAGTCCCCAAATCAGCATTATTATTACAGGAGGTCTGTGTTCATGAGTCTATAAACTTTTACCAGACTACATTCCCATTATTCTTATTCAATTCATTCAAGCAATATTCCATATTTTCCAACAGGAATATGTGGAATTTGAGATGAAGAAACCTTTAAATATAGCTAATATATGTTATTCTCTATCTCTTATCTGTTGACTGTTAACTCACAACAAAACACATTCCTACAAACATTGCTGGAATATAAAGTACATTTGCTCAAGTGCTACTTAGGTACAGTTTTAAGTTGCTGTTGCTTTAATTGAATGTTTTTCCTTTTGCTCTTTTACTTGGCTGCTAAAGATACTTTACAGATTAATCATTTACACACAACACATGTAATAATCGTATACAGCAGTGGACAAAGAATCAGATCCTTTACTCAAGTAAAAGCAGTAATACAACATTATTAAAATACTGTTTCAAGTAAGAGTATAGAAGTATAAATGGATTTAAAGCATCTAAAGTAAAAGTACTCGTTCTGCAGAAAAATTAGCCCTGTCAGTGTTATATTATTATAACATTATAAGAAACATTTTACTGAGCTAGTTTTAACTACTTGTAACCCAACCTAGAAGTCGGGCCCCTCAGCCATTTCAGTGGAGCAAAAGTAGCGTGGAATGGAAATAATCAAGTACAAGTGGCTCTTAAAATATGCAGAAGTACAGCACTTCAGTAAGGACTTTTTTTGTACATTTTGCCACTAATCGTATGTGGTGCATTGTCATAGCTTGACACAGAAAAATCTGCATAACAAATAGCTCCTGTAGAAAAAAACATTTATATGTTTATCAGACAGTGTGAGGAAGAGCCTTGTGCTCGAAATGTAATGAATAATCTTTCATGATGTGTATTTGTGTAGCTTCCCAGCAGCTACTACATCCCTAGTTCCTATAAAAGGTGAACCAAAGTAATTGAGTAATCTCAGTGAACACATATTCTGTGGTAAAGTTATCCAAAAAATCCATGAAGGAGTCAAAATTCCCATGGTACAAGTAATTTAAACTGCTGCCTTCATATGAAAGCATTGATGATAATAATAATAATAATAATAATAATAATAATAATAATAATAATAATAATAATAACAATAATAAGTCATAAAAATACATAAAATGAATGAATTAACTTAGTTGACTGTTTACTTGTGATGGGAGTGTTTTTACATTGTGGTATTATAATATTCAAGTTCAGAAAAGAATCACAGTACTTCATTTATAACTTTAAATGAAATGCATTGCCTGCATTACTGTTCAATAACTAACTGTAGGTAAGTGTTTTATATGTGTGTAAAGTTAAGTCTTAGTCCTAACCAGTTTCCCAAGAGACTCATTTCAGCAGAAATGCAGCACAATCCACTTCCATGTAGTTGTCAGATAGTTCAAGATTTATTGAGTCACAGTTTATGTGCAGTAAGACATGACAAAAGGCAGTGCACTTCAATAACCTTTATTTAGATTACAGATATATTCCATTTTGAAGTTTGAAGTCTAATATTTCACCAAACCAAAAGATGATGTTCATTTGTTTAATTTTGGCAGCAGAATTTAAATGTAAAGTAGAGCCTACCCTGCATTTAATATATATTATTTTTTTCCTACCATACCATAATGTTACATGGTTTATGGTATATGATGAGAATAATGAAAACAGTGCACCAATATTGTGTCCATCATAACACACTGACTTTCTGTCAGGCATTAGTGAAGTTTTGCATCCCGAGTGAGAAAATCATTAGGATTCAGTTTAAAAGTTAGATAAAAACAAGGTTTTATTATATCTTGCCATGATACAATTGTTATGGAAAAAATTAATGGTGTGCAACTTTTTTTTTGCCTCCACTGGGTCATTTCCTGCCTGTTACAAAATCTTTATAAAACTGACAGGCTGCTGCTTGTGTTTGTCACACCATCAAGGCCGTCCGGTGAGGTAAGCACTGAAATGCATCTCAAACTCATTGCAGACACAATCCCTCTCAATAATGTGCTGTACTGTAATGGTTGTATTGTTTCTTCAGTATGGTTCAGGTGGATGAGAACTACACACAAGTTTCAGAGTTTGTTATTATGGGCTTCCCAAGTCTCCAGCCGGGGAATTTTAATCTGGTAGCATGGTTCTTCTTTTTCCTCTATGTGGCTACGGTGGGGGGCAACCTTTTGCTGGTGGTGCTGTTTGCTTTGGAGCGCAGCCTCCAAAAGCCCATGTACATCGTCATGGTCAGCCTGGCCCTCTCAGACATTGGTAAATATGGTATTGTTTGTATTGTACTGCCTACTACTACTGTGTATTAGGTGTTACACATAAAAATATTACTGCCAACGGTCAGCACATTGCTATTTAAGAAACGCTGATGGTCTCAGTGGTTGTACAAATTACTGTTGTTGACTTTGAGCATAACCCAGATTCACTATCTCAGCGCCCTCTCTTAATCTTTTGATGTACAGCAACGCCGAGACTTGACCAGGAAATGTGAGAGAAACAGTCAATACTTGAACTATAGTCCAAGTTTTTGCTGAAAGAGGTTGAATGAAATTGGCCAGAGAGAACCAAACACTGCTGTAACTGATATTAAAGATTTAAGGCTGTGGAGCTTTTACTGAACAACATGAATCCGTCTGTCTTTTAGTTTAAAGGTTAATGCATTTAAGTGTGACATTACTTCATAGGTTTGAAAATGAAAGGGATCCTAAAATTGAATATATGTGTCTTCTTCTACCATGAAATAGCTGAATAGTAAAAATTCAAATCTGCTTTGCCCTTTCTTTTCTCATTTTTCTTCTCACCTCTCATTCTCCTGTAGGGTTTGCCACAGTTGTTTTACCCAAACTGACTGCTCGCTACTGGTGGAATGACGGGAGTCTTGACTTTCACACTTGCCTCTTCCAACAGCACATGATCCACTATTTTGGCTCCCTGAACTCCCTGATTTTACTGACAATGGCCCTGGACCGATACGTGGCTATCTGTTTTCCTCTCAGGTGAAGGGAAGCAATCTAAGCCTTGAAATAAGACTATATGAAATGAAATATGACTTAATTTTCTTTCTCTCTCTACCTCCCTTTCTCTCCTCAGATACCCAATGGTGATGACAAACCAAACCATGACGGGCCTCACGGTCTTCTGCTGGGTGGTTGCGCACATCTTCCCTGGCATTAGCACCATCAACTTCACCATGATGCCGTTTTGTGGGCCTAACCAAATCCTACAAGCCTTCTGTGACACTCTGTCTCTTAAAGCTCTTGTGTGCAGAGACACTGGCGAACTATACAGCAAAGCCTTCACTGTAGCGATGTTTATTCTTTATGTTCCTTTATCCTTCATCATATTCTCTTACATTTTCATCATCATCTCAGTATTGCGCATGGCCAGTGGACAGGTGAGGTTATACTGTCCTACCCTTTAATATACTTTACTTTAATAATTAGTGCCCACCCTTAAATCTAAGGTCACACACTATTTATTTTCTAAATTTTACACACATTTTATTTCATTTTATTATTCAAACCTCATTTTAACCCTAAGACACTGTTCTCCTCAGGGCAGAAGGAAAACCTTCTCTACCTGTGCCACCCAGGGCTGCATCATTTCCATCTACTACATACCACGTTTCTTTGTCTACTCCACACCTTTCTTCCCTAACCTGACGATGACCGCTGACAAGCGTATAGCCACCATCCTCTTCTACAGCCTTTTCCCTCCACTGATCAACCCGTTCATCTACTGTCTGAGAACCAAGGAGATCAAGAAAATATTTGCACGCTGGATCTGGAGACAAAAGGGCATTGCGCCTAAGAAGCAAGGCCAAATTGAAGCTATCACCAAATCACAATGAGAAGTAATGCAAGACCTTTATTGTTGTAATAAATGCATGCATGATCATTTAGTCTATATGGTTATATACAGAAAAGTGTTTGATTATAGAAAATAATAATAACTAAAATGCTGTTTTAGTGTGGAAACCAGGGCACAAGTTTATATCCCTCTTTCTTGTCCTGCTTTACACTCTGTCTGTATGTGTATAAATAGTGCTTTAATTCAAAAGAAACTTATCCTGCATTTCTATCTGTGTCAATATCTTAAGTCTTAAATGTAAACAAATGCCATATCAAAAACAATATGAGTCTCTGTAAGTCGTATAGATGCAAACTGAACCTTTGAGATGTGCGACACGTTTGTTTTTGAACCACTGAATGGTGACTGAATCTGATTTAAGAAATTATTATAATTAATATTATGGTGACAGAACTTTAGGTTTTATTGAATGACTTTAAGTCCCCAAATCAGCATTATTATTACAGGAAGTCTGTGTAAATGAGTCCCATTAACATTCCCATTATTCTTATTCAATTCATTCAAGCAATATTCCATATTTTCCAACAGGAATATGTGGAATTTGAGATGAAGAAACCTTTAAATATAGCTAATATATGTTATTCTCTAAATTTAAACAGAGAGAACACATCAAACTGACCTTTTAACTTAGGTAAGTCGGTGATATATAAACATATTTGCAGTGTAACTGATAATATGAGATGTCCTGAAGCTGTAATAAAGGAGATTATAAAAAAGGACCACTGTAATGAAATGAGAAACTGAGTAATCTGCAGTTACAGTTGAAGCAAACATAGCGAGACTGCAAAACACAAGATAGATTAAATACTGAGCATGAGATTTAAAATATTTATTTAGATATTTCACAGGGACATTTTGAAACTAAAAGAATAAGTGAATAAATAAAACTACAGAATAAATGCAATGAACTGTGAAGAAGGGAGACAAGCGTAAAAAACAAGCCTTACAGAACAAATGTAGTAATATCAAGTAGCTTTAAAAGGAGATTATAAGGTGTTTACTTTCACTCCAACAGAAATTTAAAAATCCCAAACTCATCCACCTAGCACTTGGTGGACAATTTTACCCAAAGCACCTTCTACAATGCGCATTCATAGCACTGGTGGTTATAATGTTCCTACACAGGTATTTTGCCAGAAGATGGCAGCGTCCTCAAACCTTACTGCAGTCTATGAGTCACACTGAGCAAAAACAAATCATGTCGTGCCATGCTGTTTGGCTGATGTTTGGTGTATGTTACCCCATAATTATATTTTTGCCTATATAATCCATCCAAACATGAGTAATGAATGTGTGAATGTAGCTCTATGATAGGGGTTCTCCATACACACCCACCCTGCCAGTCCCTGTCATTTTACACCCTGTTGTTGTAGTCAGAAGCATCAGTTTTATTCATGTTTACAGTCAAGCTCTATGTTTAAATGTCGCTGTTGGACATATCACATATATTTAAATGATACTGCAATACTACCTTTGAAACAATAATTTGTGTGTTTAAAGTGACTGGAGTTCTGTTCAGAAGCCAGGCAGAGGCAATACTAAGTGGTTTAATGTCACACAAACAGAATGAGCCGCTCTGTACTGTAACCACAATCTTCCCTGTCTGCACACAGACTCTTTCTATGTGTGTGTGTGTTTGTGTGTAAATAAGGGAAGAATAGTCGTATTCATGTTGAATATCTGGCCCACATTACAGTCACTGTGCGGACACAGCATGACTGCAAGGAGGAGGGATGAAAACAGGGAGGAGGAGAGGAAAAAACTACACTGAAGGCAACAGAAGCACAGTCATCATCCTTTAATATAATAACTTCTTAGCTCATACTGTCCTACCATGTCACAAACTCGCTGATATTCAAAGAATCTTTTATTTTCTTTGATTTAAAACTGTCCTCACACAATTATGGACCGTCTTGTTTGTCCAGTGTGACATTACCGAGGTATGTGAGGCTCTCCGGGTGACAGGCTGAACTGTACTTCATGTTCCACACTCTTCTTCCTGCTGCACTTTGGTCGACTGACTGTTGTGCAAACTGGACAAGTGACTTAACAGCATCACATGGTTATAACAGAGAAATGACGCAATTTAATTTTATTCTATCTTCATCACCTTCAATGTTGAGCGAGTGGAAAGTAAGACATCTTTAGACAAGCTTTACTGAGTTTTTAATGTTATAAAGCTGATTCTTTTTCAATCTGTTGACTGTTAACTCACAACAAAACACATTCCTACAAACATTGCTGGAATATAAAGTAGGCTACATTTGCTCAAGTGCTACTTAGGTACAGTTTTCATTGAATGTTTTTCCTTTTGCTCTTTTACTTGGCTGCTAAAGTTACTTTACAGATTAATCATTTACACACAACACATGTAATAATCTTATACAGAGGTGGACAAAGAATCAGATCCTTTACTCAAGTAAAAGCAGTAATACAACATTATTAAAATACTGTTTCAAGTAAGAGTACAGAAGTACAAATGGATTTAAAGCATCTAAAGTAAAAGTACTCGTTCTGCAGAAAAATTAGCCCTGTCAGTGTTATATTATTATAACATTATAAGAAACATTTTACTGAGCTAGTTTTAACTACTTGTAACCCAACCTAGGAGTCGGGCCCCTCAGCCATTTCAGTGGAGCAAAAGTAGCGTGGAATGGAAATAATCAAGTACAAGTGGCTCTTAAAATGTGCAGAAGTACAGCACTTCAGTAAGGACTTTTTTTGTACATTTTGCCACTAATCGTATGTGGTGCATTGTCATAGCTTGACACAGAAAAATCTGCACAACAAATAGCTCCTGTAGAAAAAAACATTTATATGTTTATCAGACAGTGTGAGGAAGAGCCTTGTGCTCGAAATGTAATGAATACTCTTTCATGATGTGTATTTGTGTAGCTTCCCAGCAGCTACTACAACCCTAGCTCCTATAAAAGGACAACCAAAGTAATTGAGTAATCTAAGTGAACACATATTCTGTGGTAAAGTTATCCAAAAAATACATAAAGGAGTCAAAATTCCCATGGTACAAGTAATTTAAACTGCTGCCTTCATATGAAAGCATTAATAATAATAATAATAATAATAATAATAATAAATAAAATGAATGCTTTTAGTACATTTTACTGACCACTGTTTACTTGTGATGGGAGTGTTTTTACACTGTGGTATTACTACTTCAAGATTAGAAAAGAATCATGCATTGCCTGCTCTAACTATAAAGTGTTCTACATGTGTATAAAGTTAAGCCCTAATCCTCACTTTAAACAACTGCTTTCAAAACCTAACCAGTTTCCCAACAGACTCATTTCAGCAGAAATGCAGCACAATCCACTTCCATGTAGTTGTCAGATAGTTGAAGATTTATTGAGTCACAGTTTATGTGCAGTAAGACATGACAAAAGGCAGTGCACTTCAATAACCTTTATTTAGATTACAGATGTATTCCATTTTGAAGTTTGAAGGGGGGAGAGGGAGCATTAGTGCTATTTACAATTGGTTTGAAAACGTTTATCTCTGTACAGATTTGAACCCTGATCAATATAAACAATATTTTTTTTAAGACCTAGTGCGGTTACAAAGCGATTCTATAAAGCAAAAAAACCACGAAGAAAAAAAAGGATTACATTAAATTATAAACAAATGAAAAAAATAATAATAAAAGAGCACAGAAGAAAGAAAATAAAAATACAGTCTGTCGATGATTAGGGAGGTTTTGCTGCTGTTAAGCACAAGACATTGTCAGCAAGTGACTGTGAACTGGCTAGAAGCTAACCGTATACACAATCATAGACTAAACACCAATATACTGTATATCAACAAGATCTAAAGTCATCATGTTCTATATAAGATTCATATTAAATATATTCTACACGTAACCTTAGTTTGGAACATTACTTCCATTGGAAAAATATAAAATAAAACAATAAAACCTTTTATACATTTTTATTTTATCTGATGAAGGAGCACATGCTTCGGTTGTGCAAAATGGACTTATTAATGCAGAGAGAGAATTAAGGAGAGAGTAAGAAGCGAATTAAGACAAATAAGGAACATTTTTCATTCCGAGTTAATTTCCCTGCTTGGACAGCAATTGTCATCCTTCACAACACTGTTTTAAAAATGAGCACAATGAGCCTTTCCTCGGAGAGAGGGATGATGCATCAGGGAGGGAAGCAAACTGACATGACGTCTTATTAATCACAACACTGGTTGGTCAGTAAAATGCATGGACTGTCAAAACACAGTCACAAATGTCATGGACAAACAAATAACCTAAACAAGACCACCAACACTGGTTGTTTGTTTATTTGTTTGTTTGTTAGGCTTTGTTTGGCTAAAATATGATGACTAAAAGAGTGGGATGTGTTCGGTCTGTACAGCGCTCTGCAGACAAAAAGGAATAATTTCTCTCTTGTGACCTTTAAGGGCACATGTAGAGGAGGGCAGTAAAAAGGACACAGGTGTGTGTGTGTATATTGTATCTCTGTGTGTGAGTGTGTGTATGTGTGTATATGTGTGTGTGTGTGTATATGTGTGTGTGTGTGTGTGTGTGTGTGTGTCCTGGTTTGAGTTCTCTGATCAGGCACGTCTAAGCTTCATCTGCTGCACGGAGGGAGATCACACAAGCACATATGGTTGGATGTGTAGACAGGTTGTCACTGTGTGTGTGTGTAAGTGTGTTTGTGAGTGTGTGTGTTGTATGTTGGCGAGTTGTTAGTGGTTAAAATTCTCAGCAGTCTGTATGAGAAAACAAGGCCACACACACAAACTTGGGCACTGCATTACTATGACAACCAGCTCAAATGGGGAGCCAGTTAGAAACTGACTTTTAACCGACCGGCTGAGAATGGCTAGACAAGGTGTGTATCTCTATGTGTGTATCTCTATGTGTGTGTGTGTGTGTGTGTGTGTGTGTGTGTGTGTGTGTGTGTGTGTGTGTGTGTGCGTGCGTGCGTGTGGCAGAAGGCTTAAGAAGGTGTGCATTAAGAAAAAGAAGAAGAAAAAAAAAACCGACATGCAAATGCAGTTGCTTCCTCTAATTTTCAGTTATGACAACAAATCAAATACAACAAAGGAATCAACTCTATCGTTAATCAATTTCCAGCTCCCAACTCTGTGTCCTGGATTAGCCTGAGCCCGCTGTCTTTCTATGTATGTGTCAGTGAGTGTGTGAGAGAAATCAGGCAAAACAAGCGAGAGAAGAGTGTGTTTGTGTTTGTCTGTATGCATATCTGCATTATGGACAGGCTCCAGAACAGGGGACAAGCTCATTAGGTCCAGGATGTTGAGGGCAGGAACGGATGAGAAGGATGGAGGGCCGGCGGCGGAGGTTTGTATTTACAGAATGACACAGCAGTTACTCTCCCCAGTCTTCTCTCTGTTCCTCTGACCTGTGAACACACACAAAAACATCATCATCAAGACAAACACTGATCCTATAAAGTCAGAGAGCTACCCAGCTAAATATATATTGTGACAAAATCATCCCCATTTAAGAGGTATTGCACACTTAAACTAATTTTTTTTTTTACCGCTATTGACACAAATCTGCATTGTATCGCTTGAAAACATGCCATCTACTGTTGTAAATTAACCTGAACCCTGCAAGCGAGTGCTGACATAGAGTCGACCATTTGGGACTATTTCACATCATCGCATCAAATGTATACTGATCAGGATGCATTCACAGGAGTTTATGCCAGTTTTGCTAACCCTCTACCTAGTAGTTTTCTATTTTAGAGCAGTGGTTTGGACTTCTGACAGCTGTAGAAGCACCAGCCTGCAATCTTCACCTTGGTCCCACACACTGACAGTCCCCCCTCAAACACACACACACACACACACACACACACACACACACACACACACACACACACACACACACACACACACACACACACACACACACACACACACACACACACACACACACACACAGTGAATGTGCTTCTAGTGAGTGTGAAAGCTCCAGCGGACTCTCTGTGTTTCCATTGCAGACAGAGAGAGTCTGACAGCAGCTGCACATGGCTAGTGAGCCCTGACTACCATCCCGCTGTTCCTGCTGCACTGCTGTGGTCAGTCTGTAATTCTCTCCAGTCATCATCAAACCTAGAAGGTGATTGTATCTGAACTCTTGACTACCCTATCTCTACATACAATCACCTTCTACTACAGAGTCACAAAAAGGAGACCTGTCACCTAATATGATTCATATAAGCTGTATATTCTACACAAATTGCTGTATCTTCAGAATACAGTTAAGGGAACCAATTACATGCACCAATGGCTATTCCTAACACAGAAGCGATGTGTAGAGATAAATAATGGCTGGGAGCAGAACGTTTAAAGTTGCTCAGCGTGTGAAAGGCCCACTGAAAGGAAAGAAGGGAGACGGAGAGCTGGTTACCTTGGGAATTTGGCTCAGGCAAAGTCTCTCTGGCAACTAAATGCATCACTGTGGTCTTCCCCAAGGGCAGTTTGAGAGCTAGTGAGAGAAAAACATAGAGGATGTAAAGGTTATTCAATGAGCTACAGTATCTGTGTATGTACAAGTTATTCACCATCAGTATAATCCTAGTACAAACTGAGCTATCCTGGAACGAGTAGCTACATCATATGACATAATAAACTGGCTGAAGATGTCAAAAACATATGACTGGTAATTTTGTTCCAGAATAATAATCTCTTGCAGGTAAGAAAAGGGCCTGAAAATCTTTAAACCTTTATGTAAATCAGTGTCAGATGGTGTAATGAATAAAATTATACAGCAGTTGCTTTGAACATCAGTGATTACCTATCTGAAGCTATTTAGTAGCTGATTTTACACCAAAATTGCTGGAAATCAATGGCTGTCGGGAAAATGCAGAAAAATGCAGTCTACTCTAACTACTGTATGCTTTGTAATATAACAAGTAGCACTAGCCATACTGTGATATTTCACACACTAAATTACAGTTAATATCTTAGCTGCAATACTTGTAACTCCTTTACAGCCAAAAAACTGTTTATCAACCATGTGGTGTGTGCTTTCACACGTGTGTGGCGTCTATGTTAACATTTCAAAACCACTAGGAGTTTTGGCTCAACTTTAAGAGGATTCTGTGTCAGCGTGCAAACATGTTAAACCAACGATAAGGGAATTATCAGATAGATGGCAGTAATGGGATGAGTGTAAAAGGGTTGGGGGCGGCCTTAACCCCATTAACCAAACAAAACACCAGTCAAATCAAAATTGGGTTAAGTAGACTCGAAAGCCTAAAAGCCAGAGAGAAGTGAAGTGGGCAGCCTCAAAAGAAGACCTCGTCTATTTCTCTTCACTTATGGCATTCACTTTCACCGGCCCCCCCTCCCTTTCTGTCTCCTCATTGTGCTGCTTGAGGTCTACTCTAACGCCAGTCTTGCCCCTTTCCTGACCAGTCTCTTTCCCCTCTTTTTCTGTATTTCCTCTCTCCTCCCTCTCTCCGTCAAAGCAGGCTTGTCCAGAGCACTGAGGTACCTCTGTTCTGCGGCTCAGGAAAGGGATGAGAACAGCAAAGAACTTTCCAGCAACACACTGCTGTGATTTTGTGTGCATGTCTATGAGCACATAAGGGGTGTTTTTTTGGAGGTGGAGGGGGGTGCACTTTCTGTGTTTTCTCACCTCCTAGTGTTACGTTGCCGTGTAGAAAACGGCCCTGGTAGATCAGCCTCAGGATGTTAGGACTGCTGACCTGCTCTTCCTCCCAGTCTGTAAAAAAGGGGAGACACAGATAGATGGTTTCAGCAAAGTCAACATTTTGTCTAAATTTTCACATCATTTTACCTATGTTCCATAAGAAATTATCATCATCATCATCATCATTGTATAATCTATAAACTGAGAACATGCAGGTTCAATAATGACATTTCACAACTTTTTTATTGCTACCTGAAATTGAATTAGCTTTAAAAGCCACCCTAAACAAAATCAGTTTATGATTGAACATTGCTAATGAACGTCCCCAGACTCTAGATGAGCAATTTAGAAAAGAACAAAAGGAATTTAATTGTTAAGGGGTTCTGACTGAGTTCAGCAGAGCTCATACAATGAAAAGCTTTGAATTTTAAACTACTGCTTTAGCCCTGGTCTACGTCAATATAATATACTGTATATAGTGTAGTGAAAAGAAATCAGTCATTGCATGGTGAAACAAAAAGACCACCAACAACCGCACTGAAGATATTTTAAGGCATTTAGGGCCTTTATTTCAGATCATTATATGCAGAATGTATAATATGTGGGTTTTGTGGGATGCGCTACAGAATGTGAGAAAGACTCAAAGCAAAAGAACACGAGGTGTGGCTTGGGAAGAGCTAAAGACAAAAAGTGAAGGCATTAAATAGGAGAGAAAACAGCGGGGGGAGTTGCACGGCAGCAGAGTCTGGCCACCAGATGTTTGTCTCCAGCTAAGGGAAGGGTGTTGGTGCTGACTGAGTGCCTGCTCTGGGTCTCACAGGGTTCAGATCTGTTGTCTGGGAGGAACACAGGGCACTTCCAAAACTGACAGGACTGAAAGAAGAACCCCTTCTTGTCATGGAGAATCAGTATAATGTATAGTTTTTCATGCACTGTGGGCTTCTCCTAAATTGGGCTACAGTCACAACACCGTGGGAAAAGGCTACAGTCTGTTCAGATTTGAAGGTGGCATAAGGTCGGTAGTATCAAATGAATTCTAACACTGGTGTAGCAGCAGTTAGGGAGTGGGTGTGTTACACAGAGGAGGTGGCAGCGCTGTGAGATTCCACATTGTCCTTGTATGCAATGATAATCAGGCTGAACCGAGGAGTGCACCCTAATTATCTTACACCAAAGATTGGCACATTCCCACACTGCTATACAGACCTACATGCAAGTAATTAGCGGTGGGTTTGAATGTGATCGCAGCTCTCTGTATACACAGTATAGCCCCTCAGCTGCCGTTATCTTTGTTATATAGAACATAAGGTCAACATAAGTCAGATTGTCTGGTTTCCAAGTGCATTAGCCGCTAAATTGTTAGCAATTACTGTTCATGCGAACGCACTGCAGCTGTGCTTATGCAATAATGTGATTTATTACAAAATAACACAATATGGGTCTTACCTATATGCTCAATGTGCGAAGATACAAAATGTCCCAGCAAGAATACCTAAACCATCTGGTAAATGTTTACATTTAGTAGTTTATCTAGTCTAATCTTAGTAGCGCAAGAATCTCTCAACTAAAATCACATTTTAATTTTATAACTCAACTCTTTAGACGTAAGGTTGGGAATATTTATTGTTGGCTGGCATGAAGGCACAGATATAGATAAAACTGCCACGGAAGACTAATACATAAATACTAAAAGAGAATATTTGATTTGGATAGTACGCTTATAATGGTATTCTGTGATCAAAGAGTAGATGTTCAACAAGAGTAACTCACTACTATCACTTTTACTATGTGACTGAATCTTTCTTCCCGACTTTAAAGTCTCTCTATCTTTATGCATTACATTATTATTTTTCACACATTGTACATTATCTTTATACTGTGAACATTTGCACTGCTCTTCTATGCTCTTCTTTCTATGCACCACAACACCAAGACAAACTCCTTGTATGTATAAACCTACTTGTCAATGAACCTGTTTCTGTTTTTATGTTAACGTATCTAAATAAATTACAAATCTGTGAAATCTGTCTTAAATACTTGAGAATGTTTAAATTTTTTGAACACAATGTACCCATCTGAATCAATGTGATGAACATAAATTTTGATAATATGTAATGTATTTGATAATATGTTATAATAATTGTTTATTTATTACCTAATTGCTAAGTAATCACCATCCCAAACAAAGTGTCATTTGACTATGCATCTCCTAGGGCTTTCTACCGACTCGGAAACTGTGACCTGAAAACACGGCTGACTTTTTGCTGTCACATTAAAGCTGCATTCATCTTGTTGGGCAACTAGGTGGTTATAACTAAGTACTTTTACTCAAGTCCTGGGCCCAGTCGCATAAAACCACTTAAACCAGAGATGGGTTCAGTTTAACCACACATTTGCATTGTGCACGTGTTGTGTTCATTTCTGAAGACATGCACTACCAATGCTTCAGTGGTCAAAGGGAAGCTCATTTTAATGAGTTTAAATACGGCTGGGTCGCTTGTGAATTTGCCCCTCAGGATCAACGTTTATCTTTATCTATGCTTTATTTATCTAATCATTGTCATTTCTTTGTTGACTACAGTTATTCAATAAATATAGTCAAGTAAAAAGTATAATATTTTCCCCTGAGATGTTGTGGAGTATAAGTATAAAGTAACAGAAAATGGAAACACTCAGGTACAAGTACCTCAAAACTGTAGTAGTACATTACTTGAGTACATTTACTTACTTTCCAGAACTGGAACTTGCACACTGAACTCTGAACATGATTTCTCCAACCTGAACAAGGTACGAGGCTACAACACGGACAATGATTTCATGATTCTTCTGATTCTTCTGATATCAATTTATTCTTAAATTTAAGAATTAAAAGGCTGCAAGGAGAGCACCTTTGGCAACATTTACATATAATGATGCCTTAATAAAATTGTTCTCCAAGCCTGCACACTGCGTTCATAACGTGCTAATGTTTTGCAGGGGTTATTCTTAGAAATTTAAGAAATAATAGTGGGAAGAGTAAATATCTGAGTGACCTGTATTTGCTTTTGTAGCTAGTGGATGTAACTACCGCTACTTCTTTATCAACCACCAAATCACTGATGTATCTAAATGGAGGTACTCACCCATCGGCCAGTTGTCATACACATGTTTAGCAATGTCTGCTGCCGAGTCATTGGGAGAGAAGAGGAATTCTTTCGTCTTCCCGCTGACTAAAATAAGCCGCAGGTTTATCTGCAACACAGATAAAAACAAGATGGCTATGTTAGAACTGTATTTGAGAAACATTATTGGACACATCAGATGGAACATAACACAAACAACTGTCCCATATGTCAGCTTAAACACAGTCAGATCAGGAAGCACACAGGTTCAAGTTAAGTAATTTAATAGGAAACAGGAGAGGGATATGAGCACCCTGAGGAGCGTCCTTCCGCAGGATCAACTCCCATTAGTCTCTCCAACTTCCTCCTCACTTTTCTCTCATCGCACTTACTCTGTGTTTCTTTGTATTTTGGTTCCGAATACTGAGAATTTGTCACTTTCTTATCCTTACCACTCAAAAAGCCAGATGTTATTATATAATATCCTACAAGACACTGCAATAAAATTTGCTCATTGAACTGCGAATTAGAGGCACTATGTATGCACATTTTGTCAACAACTCGGTTTTCTCCATTTATACTTAGATAGCCAACTGCATTTTCCAATTAAAATCATATTGCTATTTTATATGTATTGCATTTTAAAGGTACACTATCAAAAACCCTTTGGCTTGCAGGCATAATGGTATTATTCATGAATGAGACTATGAGCATGTTTATAATTTCAACACAACCGAACTTGGCTCTCGCAGTGTAAAACAATTAGCTGGTGTTGGAATATTAAAGGCTGTTATAATGTGCAACCTGCCCCGAATAGCTTATCCCAGCAGTCAGTGGTGACAGCCAAGTATAATAATAAATGACTAATAGTGTGAGACTCTTGTTTACAGCGGGCGTCAATTCTCATCACACAAAGGTCAGAGTCAGCCACTGAACAGCACCTCTGGAGCAGGTGGGGAATTGTCATTATGGGGTCTACTATATGATTTTTAGGGTTGCAAAAGACCTCATTAAGTGACTGAAACATACAAACATGAGATACCACACACATAGTGAGTATTTTTAACAACATTTCTTTTGCATTGACAGTCAGAAGTGTACACATATTGAATGACATGAAAATAGAGACAACAATAACCTGTGAGGCTATTGTGAGAGTGAAAATCCCCTCAAATGCTGATAATGCACAAACCTGTACCAAAACAGAAAACCACATCCATCTGAAACTTTAAATAAGATGGGTGATGGTGAGACGAGGGCGACTGTAAACTCTTCAGTGAGAGCTTGAGGTGAGTGAACTTCAGCTTAGCTGTGGCTGCGTACTGAAACCTGCTGAACTGGATTATTCTCATTAACAGCACACTATTTTACTGATTCCTCGCTGTTTTTTTGGCACTTACTTTATTTCCCCTACATATTGTCAACGGTCCTAACTCCCACTGTACATTTTAAAATACTGTGAATGATCTTTTGATCTAGTCAGCAACAACTAGATCAAAGGTCAAACACCACGTGCTGTGTGAGAACGTCATCTTACTCTGATCCAAAAAACTTGTGATGTCCAAATCCTAACAAAAATCAGCCTAACCATCAGAATGTGTGTCCACATCTTTACTCACTGTGCTCTGCTCTTAGTCTAACATGCCACTGTCACTTTAAACATGCCAACAAATAATGAAGACAGAGAGGTAAATTCGTTGTTTACATTTGACTGGTATGGAAATAATCACACAAAGGAGGAGTGGCAAAGATGTGTGTTATGCTAATCACCACATCTCTTTGTGCATCTATCACCTTAAATCACCCAAATACAGAGATGAAATGAACACAGTAAGGGTGTTTTGCATTTAGAACCACTAATTTGTACATCAATTGCCTGGCACTAGGATGCAGATCAGAGGTTATCTCTTAACTGGCATGATGTGTGTTTAATTGTGGCACAGTATGCCTTTAAGAGCCAGAGCAAAGGTCTGTCGTGTGTTTGTGTTTGCCTTTGCTTACTGTGTTTGTGTGTCTTGCCTGCAGTGCGCGCATGGCACAAGCACGTGCGTGTCATTGTCCCTAGTGTGTTTCCATGTGCCGAGCGTCTGTCAGGCCTCTACATCACTCACAGCCCACCCCAACGAAACCTCACTGCTAAAGCAACACACACACACACACACACACACACACACACACACACACACACACACACACACACACACACACAAAAAAAAAAAAACACACACACACACACACAAGGGTGTATGTATAAAACACACACACACACACACACACACAGCCGACAGCAGTGATGTAACAGAGCTAACACCAACGGATTGAAACAGAGATCTCTGTAAGCACGTTATCAAATCAGCTTATAGGTTTAAGAATGGAAAAGCCATACAGAGACACACACACACACACACACACACACACACACACACACACACACACACACACACACACACACACACACACACACACACACACACAAAAAACAACACATACCTCATCATTGACCCCACAAACATACAGTTCATATACACATGGGTAAAGCTGCTTCTAAGAGATCAGATGTACTTCATAGTTGTATGTACATGCAGAATACTCTGGACCATAAAAACATACAATGTGCAAATACATGCAGCCAGTCAGAGACACTGACAAACCACAAACTGGAATTAATAATAAATATCCGCATCAATAAAATGCTGATTCCAGCTATACAGATGAGATACGGATCATAAAGCAGGAATTTGCATAATGTTGGTGAGTGACGACTGAATGGGAAATGCAAGTTATGACATTTCTATATACATACACACACCCTTAAGACAAACAATGATTCTGAATGAGACACATGAAATAATGAGGAAGAAACACACAGAAGAAGCCCCTTAACATAAGCAAGGTCATGCTCCTTCCTGTTTGAACGCCTGGTCGTCACCATGGCGACAGCCTGCAGTGGGTGGCTTAACCTGATAACACCTACAAGATAGCTTTACCCCCCTCCCCATTTCCCACCGTGTCACATCATATTGTCTTCCCCTCCTCGCAGCAATGTCTGCATCTCCTCCCTCTCTCCCTCACTCTGTCTGTCTACTTCCCCCACTCTGTCAATCCCTCGCTCTACACAGAGTACAGTGAAGGAATGTACAATGCCAGAATAACAAGAGGCACTGAGCTAGCTTCAATTAAACTAGGTAAACTCAGTCTTTCTTCTCTCATCATAAACCTGCACAACTTTATTTGCTTCGCTTTCCCTTTCCATTAGTCTTTGCTTTCTCTGTTCTTTATTCTCTCTATATATGTATTCATCCTATAGACAAATCAAAAGAAAACCTAAATACCCGGGTACACGATAGATGAAGAAGCAAAGAAGCAAACATACAAGGTACAAAGGTCATTGAATTGAACAATGGATGCTGAGTAAGTAAGCACAGTGAAACATCTTTTAAAGACGGGTGACAGAAGACTTTTTTAATTATTATTTTCATGACTTTTTATAAATTTCAATCTTTTTTTGGGTGGTTTAGTGTAAAAAAAAATCGGTTTTTCCTATAATTTCTCACCCAGCTGTATCTCTACAGGTGAGCTTTTATTGTCAATTTTTCTTCTTTTTTCCTCACTTCACCCTTTACTCTGATTTAAACTGAATCAAGGTCTGAACTCTCTCTTGCTCTTTTCTCCTCTCCCTGCCCCCTCTCCTTGAGGGTCGCTGTGCCTTCTCCCTGGACTCTCTTCCGCAAAGGGGCTAGTAATGAGGTTTCACAGTCAGCTCAGGGAAGTATATTCAATTGCCATCTATTCTCTGTGACGAATACAACAGCTCCAGGTATGGGGAGAGCAGTAGTTCATGCATTCATGCATATACATATAGAGCCAATGCACATATCTGAGGGCAGTCACTCATGCATACAAACAGCACATCCTCGCCTACAACCAGCCTTCAGTATGTTGAAGGCTTCACCAGTTTGCAGAGCTCGTGGAGAACTAGAAGGAATCAACATAGTGAGTATTACAATTCCCCAATGTGAGTATGTAGAAGTATTAATAAGCTCTGCTATAAGAAAGCTGAAACATCCTGGTGCAGAAGCTTCTATTTCTGGCTACTTCTGAGAAAAATAAAATAAGGTTATTTCTGCATGAAACTGGCTCCCCTGCTTGTCAAACCTCAACTGCAGACAGACATTCAGAAAAACTACAATAGTGCGACCCTGCTGCCAAGTAGTGCCATGGTGTAAACATGTGAAGTAAGCAAACCCTCTTGGCTAAACACTGTTTGCACACGGTGGAGAGCAGGAAATTCAATGCCATCTATAATTATTCCTCCCAGAGTACCGCTCTCAACTCTTTCTCAAGGCTATAGTGTGTATGCGTGTGTGTGTGTGTTTATGTGTGCTTGTGTTTATAAGTGCATTAAAGAGTATTGCTGCTCTTTAGACCCTCTGCAGCAGTCAACAAATTACAGAGTGGGAAGCCTTCCTGTGGGAATATATTAGAGCAGCTTTATAGGTAGTCTACGCAGGAAGGTTAGTCGCTGCTGTCAGTGTGGATTCCTAACTGTATGAATGAATTTAGGAGGTGGGTGATTAGCCTGACTGGGGTCTGTACAAAACAAGCCAGCTGGATCCAGCAGCCAGCCTGTTCTGACTTGCCCATTAAATTTGGAGAAAATTTGACTGTAAACTCAAGAATGTAGCTACACAGCACTTTAAGAATACAAATCCCACATGAATTATCATTGAGTGATTTTTACCGATAATAACTTGTAGGCACTTTTCTGTCTGGCGCTGCTTTCTGGCTGTCAACAAATTTAAATGAATATTAACAGCTACAAAATAGGAGACATAATAAGCTGTCGTGGCTTATTGGACAAACTGTGAACAAACCGAAAGAAAAAGAAGAAAAAGAGCAGCCTGAAAGACTCTTGTCCCATTTTTTAATTAGTCAAAACTGAGTCAATGAAACAGCTTTGCGAGCTCTTAGTGATTTTGCACACACACAAAGAGATGTTGCAATTATTAGCCCCTATTAGCACACAAATGTTATTATGGAGCCATTGTTTTAAATTAAAAACACACTGAAAGGGGTGTTTTTTCAGAGAATCGCTGTATGTGATGGAACAGCAGAATGAATGCACATATC